AGGCCTATTAATGCAATACATTTTTATTTATTACGTTTTATCTTGGCATATTGTTTCTATTATATATTATTGATTGATATTATATATAACACGTAGCATAATACTTATTTGTATAATGTAGATGGAAAATTTTACTAGTGAAAATTAATTATGGAAACAAGAAATGCAGATTAATAAATATGTTTGAAGGAAACAAACAATAAAAGCAATGTATAATAAATATTTTTAAAAATATAAATTAATTTACAGAGTAAAAAATGAAGTTTCTAGTTTGTAAATTAATTACAGTTCAAATATAATTGCTTGTCATAAATAACATTTTTAAAGAATAATTCAAATTCATTAACTTTTTTTAAAAATAAATTTGTAATTTACAATGCATTCGAATAACTCAAAATAAAAATTATATAAATGAAAAATTGTTTAAAAATTAAATTAATAACGAAATTTCCTTCGTCATTACAGAAGATCTAGAATCGAGCAATCGTTCTACAGTATTGTAATTCATTGCCACTCATCTAGCAAGATATATGAAGCTTTTAGTTTGTCTTTCTGCATGGAATGTATTGATGTAATGAGAAATTGCTACAGATCAGCTGTCGTTCAAAATTGTCCATAAGCTGCAATGGTTAATAATAATCACTTACAATCCAAATATTTATCAGTAAACTTCTTAAACTTCTATTTAAAATGATAGTTAATGTTAATTACTTTATCGAAATTTAAAAAAAAAAAGTATATGAAATGAACTAAATTACATTTTTAAATCAATAAATAAACATGTATATAAAATTTAACTCACACTTTTACACGATTAAAATCGAAAAAAACATGAAAAGTTCGAGATTAAAAATTAAAAGATTAAAAAAAATAATGCTTGAAAGAAAATTTAATTTTTAAAAAATAATAATAATAAAAGAAAATTATATATTTGAATATAAAACTTGGCAGCGAAATTTATAGAAAAGAAGAAAAAGACAAAAAATTAGTTAGAAGAGTTTATACTTAAAAATTGAAGCTAAGAGAACAAGAACTAATCAAGGGAAGATGGATAGTGGGAAGAAAAAGAAAGAAAGTTAATAATGAAAAAGAATAATGGAAAACTGTTAATAGTGTTTCTCCATTATAAAGAAAAGATGATAAAATTTCTAGTTTAGTAATACTGCTACAAAATAATTATATAGAGTGCAAAACTTTTACGCCAATTTTCAGCAAACCTCATATTAAAATAGATTTTTGTTCCGATTCAAATTACAAATTTCTCTTAATATAGACTTTTTGCCACAATTTGTATTCAGATTATGTTTTGAATATTAAGAATGACTAATTTTTATTCCATTACGTGTATCATGTTTATTAAATTTGCATCCTTAATAATTATTCAAAAATGATTTAGATAAATTAAGAATCCATTAATATAAAGTCATAGATAATTATAATTTTTCATAAATTATATTATATCTAAACATGTCAACTGTTTTTTGATAGTAAAAGAACTAAACCTACAAGTAGCAATATTAGCAGATTTAGAAATTAGCCAGAGTGCCATGAAAAATGGATTTAATATTAATAAAACGTTCATAGCACTCAACGCTTCTATATCACGGCCTATAATTCATTTCTCTCAGCCAAACCAGAAGAGTTAGTTTATGTCTGTGGCGAAACGAGCTAATAAACACGCAATTAAGTGTATCGATTTATAATATTTTCATTAATCAACGCCTATTATAATTACCTCTATAATTAATCTAGTCAATCGATGATAGAAAACGTATTAAAATACCAACAAATATTTACATGAAAAATGGAGTTTAAACTCTCCATTTCACATAGCAAATTAATATCTAAATTATATTGCACATATGATTTTCCACTAATCGTATTTGAATTTTGTCTTGGGAGTGAAGAGCATAATAAACTATGTGGCCAACTTCAATTTTGCTCACGATGGGTAAGTTTCAGACGAAATGGATCTGCAGTATGACTGAGGATAAGAATAAAGTTTTGTCTCAGACTATTTATGAAAAAATCATGAGTTTCCGGGTCGGATTTAAATCCAGATTCTGACATCTTCCTTATCCTTATTCCCTACAGTCTGAATTTTTATAGTGATATTTTTCATAGCGGAATATACAGTTTTCACATAACATCAATTAGTATGTAGGGTAAGTTTTGTGCAAATTATTCAAAAATATATCATAATTTTCTATGATAAATTCATTGTAGTTTTGTATGTCAAGATAGAAATGTCATTTTTCAAAATTGGATCTAAGTTTCGAATAAATAAATGGATAAAGAAAAGATATTTATTATATAAACAAAGTTTTGTAGTTTGTTTGTGAAAATTTTCCCAAAATATCTACGTCTTATTTGTTTATTTCAGCTTTTATTAAATCTACACCAATCAAAAAGAACTGAACTTTTGAAAAATCTACATACATAAATCAGAGAAAATTCTTTTTATTTTTTATGAGTTTTTGTTAGATTATTTTTATAATCTGGATTCTCTTATTTTTTATGATTCATTTTGAACCATATTTTAAAAAAACCAATGACATGATATACACTTCTACTTTATTCCAAATATGATATATGTACTGAAATTAGCTTACAGATTATAATACAGCTTATAGAATACAAATAGTTTGTAATTATGATTTAGTGCAACAATAATCATTATTTTTAATGAAATTTAAAGAGTAAAATCAATATTTGAAATTAATTTCCCTGAAGTAAAACATGCAAACATTGATATATAAATATTTTTTTAATTAATTAAATAGCTTTTAATGTGAATTTAAATTTGTTCATATATATATATAATATATACATTTAAAAAATTGTGATAATAATTAAAATAATTTAAGCTATTTTTATAAATAATTTTTGTAATGTATATTGTACTGTATAATTAAATAATATATATACTTATATATCTTAGTTTATTATTATTTTTTTCAATTTTTTAAATAATTATTTTAAAATTAATTAATTTATTATTGGCAAATAACTTATTTTTATGGCTAATATTCTATAATTATGATAAAAATAACATTAAAATTACAACTTTTTCTTAAAGCGCCATCTGTTATCACTCCTAGTAATTAGCACACAAAAATTAAAGTATATTTTTCTGACAATGGGAAATATGAATTGTGTCACTACTATATATTTTGTTTCTGTTTCAATAGATTTCATAGCTTATAGAGCGTAGCATTCACTGCAATCTCTTAATATTCTCATACCTGAACAAAGGTCGAACGATTATTGGGATGACCAATGATTATAACAGTATAGTAAGCCAAAATAATTTATAAAATTGTTAAAAAGATATTTCAAAAGAATTATCTAAAAATGGGTAATGGGGTCTTTTATGACTTCTAATGCGGTCTGATAAAATATATAATGATAGGATATAATATAGAAATCAGTTTTAGGCACCTTCTTCCTTCATTTTACACATAAATTAACTAAAAAATGTGTTATGTTTATTGAGAAAGAAATTTAAAAAATCTATCTAAATATATATTTGTGCATATTTTCTGAATGTATATCTTTATGCAATCTGTAATGAAACGTGAGGTCTTGGAGATTCCTCTGAAATGAAATGAGATGTGGCGTTCTATTAAAGAAGGTTCCTCACCGCTGGAATAATCAATCCATTATTTTTTTTTTTCATATACGTCGAAGAAAGTCTTCAAAATCCTGTAAAATTATCTCAAAAACTGGATGCTTCTCCCTGTTTCGTCGCTTGTATTTTGATTCATACAGACAAAAATAAAAAAAGACAAAAGATAAAAACACAATATGATTTGTTGCTGTCGTTTTTATCAGAAAAGTTTTAAAATTTTTAACGATTAATATAAGATATACCCACATTGTCATTGTTTTGTCAAATCTTAATATAATATGAACGTGTTTCAAGCATCCTAAATTTAAAATATGTATAAAAGAAACAGACATTTGTTCAACTTTGACTAAATGAATATGAATTGTAATGTTAATGTATGTCGAAAAGAATTCTAAATGCAAAAAAAAACTGCCTAAATTTTCCCTCTTTCAGGTTCTACAACTAAATATGACTTCATGTTTCTAGAATGCATAGGCCTAAATAATAAAAATTTTTGAGTGAATTAAAATTTTGTTTTAAAAAATATAATTTAATATTTCAAACCAATTATTTTTAATATTATTTATTATAGTATAAAAAAATAATTTACTTTAATATTTTAAAAGTAATTTGTTATGACAGTGTGCACTATTTTAATATATTTATTAAACTTAACACATACATATATATGTAATATTTAGTTTTTATTATAAATTTACTCCAATGTACTATAATATATTATTATATTCGTAGACAATTTCGTGTTTTTATTTTATTCAATACGTTAAAGTTTATTAGTTCATTGCTTCATTGTTTCCTGAGAATAGTAAACCATAGAACTGCTTATCAATTTTTTAATATATTGATGCTAATGCTCCTTATAATAAAAAGTATATGAATAGTGTTTCATGGCCTCAGAAAGGTTGAGAACCCCTAGTAGAAGAGGTTTANAAATAGGAATAAAAATTCTTTATAAAAGTTTTCCAGAAAACAAATTACAAACTTTATCTCCAATAATAGATTTTGCAGATTAACCGATTAAATCATGTTATGTCGTTCATTAGCAATTAGGTATTTTCCCGAATTTTTTTAAGTCTAGCCTGACCTGCCTACCGAACATTTTTATCAATTCTCGGTCAATTTTCTATTTTTATCAATTTCCGGATCGAAATTCTGGCTATTCCCAAATGGATGACAACCTTACATACAAAACAATATCCAGTTCGAATACATTTCCCCGTGAGGCAGAAAGTATCATTTGAGAGGAAAAATGGAATAGGTCTAACAGTACGTTTTTATTTATACCCATTTGAAACTTTAACTTTTTTCATAACGAAACGTGGGTTATCGTAGGCTGATATTACAAGTTATAAATAATATTTAAGTGGGCTAATCTTAATAGCAGGCAAAGCTGTATATATATTTATATATTTATTTAAATATTATATATATATTACAAGTCGTTTGATTAATAAAAATGTGCTTATAAACTGTATTTACTATTCATACTTTAAAAACCAAAATAAAGAATTTTGACTTAAATTCTATGTAGGAAATTCTTATGTTTTTTTTAAATAAAATATAAATTCGAAAAATTTTTAATACTTGTAAAATAAAATATTTTGAAGAATATATTATAGAATTATAAGTTTCTAAGACTTTATTAAAAATTTAATCATTTGACCATTAGATGTAGAATCAAAGAATGTGGAAAGTTATGAAGTTGAATCAAACAAGTTTTTCCAGCTTTTTGTTAATTTATTTAGCGAAAAAGTGAAATTTTGTTTATTTCATCGAAATTTTTCTATTAATTTTTGAAATTTGTAGGTGTACAAAACTATTTTATATCGTATAATATAACCGCTTTCAAAAAGTTCTATTGATATTTCTCTAAATTTGATCTTTCATAACTGATTAATAAAATATTTTTAATTAAATTATGCAATAGAATTTAATTATTTAATTAATTTAATTTATTTATTATTTAGTTGAATATAGCAGAAAAAATAAGTACATGTTAGATTTTATTGGTTTTTATAATTTATTTGAACTTTCTAAATCGAAATATAAACAAGACAGTCTCTCTTTACTAACAAATATTCTGTGTAAACTATCAAAATTACATATGAGAAAAAAATTTAAAATTTAAATCGAAAATATATTAAAAAGTTTTTAATTTAAAATAACATTTAGGAGAAAAAATTTGATTCATATTAGATATTTTGTACCATATGTATTAAAATTTATTTCAAAATTAAAATTTTAATCTACAATAATTAAAATATCATGAATTTATTATAAGTAAAGCCGTTTAATTTATTAAAAATATGAGATTTAATATTCGAAAATTAATTTAAATATAATCTATGTTATCTCCCAAATTACTCCAAATGTCATTTAAATCAAGATAGCCATTTTAAATCATTTTATAAAGAATTTATTAGCTAATTTACTTATATATACATATATATTAAAAATTTATATCCATTTTATTCAAACTAATAATATTAATCATTAAGTTTTATATTTTCAGTCAATGGAATAAGTCAAACATCTTAAATTTGTTTTCTTCTTATTCGAATTAATTATATTTATATTTTGTATTTTTATACTTATTGTTTACCTTATAAGTTATTCAGTTTTCATAAATCTTATAAATACATTAATTTTCTTGTAAATATATTTAATACTTAACCAAAGGAATTGAAAAATTTAGCATAATATTATAAAATATTATAAATTTTAAGTTTAAAAAGTTATTTCTTAAATATAGTTTTTCTTGTAAGAAAATAGAAATAAATTAATAAAAAATTTTAAAATATAAGTCAACCATTTCTACTCGAATTTATAAATGGAAATATTATTCGCTTCGCTATTTCCCAAGTCACTACAGTTATAGAAAGCCATTAAATATTGAAAACTGCATTAAGAAATGTTAAAAGTCATCAAATATTTATGTTAATGTCGAAGGAAGAACAAATGACACCTGTTTCCTATCTTAACGATCATGAAATATAAATTTCTTACTATTATATATATAATTTAAAAGGTTTATATCTAAAATGAAAAAGCTGTTTAATGAAGAATGAAGTATTTAATTAGAAGATTTTTCTCGCATAACATATATTAAAAATCATATAATATGTTATTTTTCAGATAATATCCAATTCTTTAACGTTACATCTGCTTTGTTTAATATAATTTAGAGTTTAGGTAGACAATCAGACAGTTTAGAAAGCATTTCATACTTGTTGACTTATTTTCTTCAGATAAAAATATTAATTTAAAAAACTGATATTTATCACTCTACATTGGATGTGACCTATATATGTATATATAGC